CTGCTTCTCTCCCCCAGCCCACCCTGCTGAAGAGAAAGCTGGAGGAACACCTGTGAGTGGTGGCTGGAAAGGCAGGGGCTAAAGTTGGGGGGTGCACGCTGCGTCAGATGGGGAGTTGCTTGTGAGGGGAGCGTTCGCTGCCCAGATCCACGCGGCTCCGGTCAACTATGGTCTTATATACCCAGCAGAGGAGCATGGACTGTTTTGGGGACATAGTGGGCAGCCGCAAAGGGGTTTTCAGCCAGGTCATGTGATAAAGTGATAATTGCTTTTTTTTTTTTTCAATAAAAGAAGCAACTTTGGTGGGGTGAGGAAATGCTTCTGGGGACTGAACTCAGGGTCTCTTGAGTGCTAACATTCTATGGCTGAGCCATGTCCCATCCCCTAGAAAAAAGTGTGGGTTCCCCCCCTTTTTTTGTTTTTTTAATTTTTTAATTTTTTCAGTTGTTGATGGGCCTTTGTTTTACTCGTATGTGGTGCTGAGAATCGAACCTGGTGCCTCACACATGCAAGACAAGCACTCTGCCACTGAGCCACGACCCCAGCCCTTTTCCCCCCAATTAAAAAAAAATCAGTTTATCGCATCACCCTGTTGGGAAGAATCATATTAGAAGGACAGCAAATTAGCAGCAGCCCAGAAACAAGTGTTTCTTGTAGTCCATAATCTCTGTGCCCCCACCCACCCGCTGGCACAGAATCTCTTTTAGAAAGGTCCCTGGCTGCTGGCTGAAAAATGGAACTGAAGGGCTGAGACTAGGAGAAGTTGGGAAAGGATGATGGTCGTCAGAGCAGCTTGGGGACTGTAGGATGGGGAGAGAGGCCACCACTAAGGATGTGGAGGGTCACGGCCCTGATGGCTGAGGAGATGGAGGGGCCAGGGCTTGCAGTTCCCAGATGTGGCGGGGAGCAGGGAGGTCTTGGCCCCTTTGGCTGCTGAGAAGAGTCGCGGGCACAGCTCTCGGCTGGAGCGCTTGCCTGGCGCGTGTGAGGCGCTGGGTTGGAGCCTCAGCACACATATAAGTAAATAAATAAATGAAGGTATTGTGTCCATGTACAGCTGCAATAATAATAAGAAAGGAAAAGCAGGTAACCCAGAGGTGAGCCCCCGTCCCTCCCTCCCTCCCTCCCTCCCGCAGGCAGAAGCTGCGCGAGGCGGATCTGGAGCTGCAGCGGAAGAGGGAGTACCTGGAGGAGCTGGAGACCCCCTCCGACAACAGCAGTAAGGGGGCTCCGCCTCGGTGCCGGGGGGTGCCTGGAGCCCAGCGTGGAGCTCAGGGGCTGCCTGTCCTCCCAGCAGCCCGTCGCATTGAAGAGCTGCAGGACAGCCTGCAGAAGAAGGACGCGGACTTGCGGGCCATGGAGGAGCGGTACCGCCGCTACGTGGACAAGGCCCGCACGGTGAGGTCGCCAGGAGCCCCTCCGTCCTCAGGCCTGGCCTCCCATTGCCTGTGCCTCCTACAGACTCACCCTCTGCCAGCCTCCGGGTCTTTGCCCGGCCTTCTGCCCTGGTCATAGTCCACCATGTCACAGCATGCTTTCCCTCTGCTGCGGGCTGTCACATTTAATGTACCCCAATGTGTCAGAGGAGCCTGTGAAGCCAAGGTCACCTGATGATTCCCCCAACTTCTAGGTCATACAGACCCTGGAACCCAAGCAGCGGCCACCTGGGGAAGGAACCCCAGAACTCCACACCCTGAGGACACAGCTCCGGGAGCGGGATGTCCGCATCCGGCACCTGGAGGTTGGTGTCCTTGTCCCTTGGTGCAGCCCCTGGCACACCCAGACCCCTAACTCTTGCCTCCTTGCAGATGGATTTCGAGAAGAATCGAAGTCAGCGGGAACAGGAAGAGAAGCTGCTCATCAGCGCCTGGTATAACATGGTGAGTGTACCGGCTCCGCGGCTAGAGAACTGGGGGCCCCTTGGAGTTACCTGAGCCCAGCTCACCACCCCTCCTCCCTCTAGGGCATGGCCTTGCAGCAGCGAGCTGGGGAGGAGCGGGCGCCTGCCCATGCCCAGTCATTCCTGGCACAGCAGCGGCTGGCCACCAATGGTCGCCGTGGACCCCTGGGACGCCTGGCATCTCTGAACCTGCGCCCTACTGACAAGCACTGACAGACCTCAGCACCCACCCACCCACCCACCTGCCTGCCTGCGGCTTCGCCCACCGTGGATGCCTCCAGCTCACCTGGCACCAGGCAGCAGGCCTCAGCCAGCTGCTTAGGAGCCTCAGGGTCATGACCACCACCTTTTGCTCCCCAGATTGGGGGAGGGCGAGGGCAGGTGGCAGGTACTGTTCTTTTCATCAATGTGATTCTTAGCCTTGATTCTCTCTCTGGAGTTAATGTGCTGCCTGAGGAGAGCCTGATTTTATAAAAGATGAATAAACACATTAAATCTGCTGTGGCTGGCCTCTGGGCATCATTGTAAGGGACAGAAGGTCAGCCAGTGACTCAGAATCATTTTTCTTTTTTTCTGTACTGGGGATGGAACCCAGGGCCTTGTATATGCTAGGTAAGCGCTCTTCCACTGAGCTATGTCCCCAGACCTTTTTTTTTTGTGTGTGTGTGTGTGTGTATGTGTGGTTTTGGTTCTGGGAATTTGACCCAATGACACTTTGCCACTGAGCTACATCCCTAGTCCTTTTTATTTTTTCAGGCAGAGTCTTGCTGATTTGCTGAGGGTGTCACTAAATTGGTGAGGGCCAGCCTCAAATTTCCTGCCTCAGTCTCTGGAGACACTGGGATTATAGACATGGACCATGGTGCCTGGCCATACTCAGGCCTTTTTTTTTTTTTTCCCTTTTTAAATATTTATTTTTTAGTTGCAGTTGGACATAATACCTTTATTTCACTTATTTATTTTTATATGGAGCTGAGGCTCGCATCCAGGGTCTCAAATGTGCGAGGTGAGCGCTGTACTGCTGAGCCACAACCCCAGCCCCCACACTCAGACCTTTTAATTTTTCATTTTGAGATGAATTCTAAGTTGCCCAGGCTGGTGTCACATTTGCCATCTTCCTACCTCAGTCTGCCAATTGGTAGGATCACAGTCTTGCACTTACTGAAGTGAGAATGACCAATCAGTGACACCAACTACGTGGGTGTCTGTGTGTGTGTGTGTGTGTGGATTTTGAAGAAGCTTCAGACAAAAATACCTGCTCTTGGTGGCACACACTTGTAATCCCAGCTGCTCGAGAGGCTGAGGCAGGAGGATTATGAGTTGAAAGCCAGCCTCAACACTTAGGGAGGCTCTAAGCAACTCAGTGAGACCCCGTCTCTAAAGAAAATACAAAATAGGACTGGGGATGTGGCTCAGTGGTCAGGTGCCCCTGAGTTCAATCCCTGGTAACCCCTGCCCCCCCCCAAAAAAAAAGTCCACTCTCATTGGATGGAATGTTCCCAGTGAAGGGAGATAGATAACAAACAGGTAAGATCAAAGTTGGATGTAAGAAGAGCTACACAGAACTAGGCACAGTGGCAGACACCTGTAGTCCCAGCTATTTTGGAGGCTATGGCAGGAATATCACAAGTTAGAAGACTGCCTGGGCAATTTAGCAAGTCCTAACTAAAGTTTAAAAATAAAAAGGGTTGGGACCGGGCACAGTGGTGCACATTGGTAATCCCAGCCACCCTAGGGGTTGAGGCAGGAAGATCACAAATTCAAAGCCAGACTCAAAAATTTAGTGAGGCCCTAAGCAAAGCAGACAAGAATGACAGGAGTGTGAGAAATGGACTTGGGAGATGGCATGTCTTTTTTGTTGTTTATTTTTGGTGGTACTAAGATTGAACCCTGGGGTGCTCTACCAATGAGACACATCCCCAGTCCTCTTTTTATTTATATATATATATATTTTTTTAAGTTTTTTTTTTTTTTAATTCTTGAGCCAGGGTGTCTCTCAATTGCTGAGGGCCTTGCTAAGTTGCTGAGGCTGGCTTCCTGAGTCAATGGGATGACAAGTGTGCACCATCACGCCCCAGCTGAGATGGCAATTTTGAATAAGAGGGTAGGATCAGAGGCTTCTCTAAGGAAGTAAGGTAATTGAAGTAGAAACCCGAGGGAGGGGTCATGTCAGTACCTGGGGGAGATTTATCCAGGCAGAGAGAAACGGAAACGTGTGTCCAAAGACCTTGAGCTGAAGCCTTGCTTAGGTTGGAGGGACAGTGAGGAGGCTGGTGTGGCTGGAATGGAAGGACTGAGCAGGAAGATGGGAGTGGATGAGGGAAGGGAGAGTGCTCGGGCCTGTGGGCTCCAGGGGATCCATCAGCTCTTGTTCCTAGTGAGCTGGGAGCCATGGAGGATTCTAAGCAAAGGAAGGATGTGGCCCTTTGGTGGCTCTGGTGGGAGAAACAAACCGGGAGGCCAGGTCTAGAGTCGCAAAACCTGGCCAGAGGTCGCTAATCCAGGTGAGTATGTGGATGACCCTGAGACTCTGGCCAGGATGGGGACCCTGGGGGAGTGAGAAATGCTTGGTTTCTGGACATAGTAAAGGTACAGTTGAGGAAGTTTGCTGCTGGGTTGATGTAGATAGAGGCAAATGAGAGAATAGAGGGTCCTGAATGACTTTAGGTTCTGGCCTCATCACTTGGAAAGACAAAGTTGACACACAGGAGGTGGGACAGGTTGGGGAGCTTTGGATCATGTTACCTTCAAAGCGTGAGGTCTTCACATGCAGAAGTCAAGGAGGCAGCTGGTTCTCTGAGTCTAAAGTCAGAGACATGATCCTGGCTAGACTTCTAAATTCAGGAGGGACTGGCAAATGATATAAGTGAAAAACGGGAACCAGGTGCAGTTGTGTACACCTGTACTTCCAGGATTGTGAGTTCAATGCCAGTCTCAGCACTATCTCCGTGGTGAAGCACCCCTGAAGTACTACAAAAAGCAAACAACCTGGAAGAATGCTCTAGTAATGTCTAGTAAGAGAAGTCACATGAACAGTTTGAGTACAAAAAAAAAAAAAACAAAAAACCCACAGTTTATTAAGCACCTACTATGCCCCAAATGCTTTAAAAGCATCATTTCATTTTCAGGACAACTCCATGAAGTAGGCACTCACGGTTTCATGGAAAGGAAAGAACACAGGCAGGACGCGGATGGAGGCCACTGGGGCAGTAGGGTTGGGAAGTAGAGCTGGGGTGGGGAGCATTTCTGTTCCAAAGCTGGGAAAATCCCTGGCCACTAGCACAGTGCCAGACCCCCGTGTGGAGCACCTGGCCACCTAGTGAAAAGTGGGCTGGCCTACTTTCTATAGGCTCCCGAGGCTTGTGCAGACCTGGACTGCTGCTTCATGCTTGTTCCCTGTCTTTAGGGGTCCTAGCCCCGGGGTCTCAGGCCAGATTCTCTTCCTCTTCACCGATAGGGCTGGGCAGCCAGGGCGGGGCCGGTCCCCGGGGTCCAGGGATGGGCACGGTGGTGAAAGGCTCTGCAGCAGGACCAGGAATGGGGGCAAGTGGCTCAGGACACACGGGGGGTTCGGGCTCTGGTTCCCGCAAGCCGGTGTCGAGCAGCGGATCCCCGCAGCTGCACTCCGTGGCTGAGCCATCGGGGACGCCAGTGCATGCACAGCTGGCGACAGTGGACGCTTCGGACACGCAGCTGTTCTTGCGGCGCAGCAGGGACAGGCGCCGGCCCAGCAAGCCTCCTCCGGCGCCCGCCGGCAGGAGGCGCTGCAGGAAGTCTCCCTGTGCCTCCCCCAGCGGGCCGTCAGCGCCGTCCAGCCTCTGGAACTGCATGTCCTCCTTGGCCAACCTGCGGACCGACAGTGGGAGGGCGCTGCAGCCTCGCCCCTCCCTTTCTTCCTTTTTCCCTCCCCTCCGTGCTGGGATTGAATCCAGGGTCTCCCGCAGGCTAGGCGAGACCTCTGCCGCTGAGCCACATCCCCAGCCCTCACCCTCTATCTGATTGATGAGTGAGATAGAGACCCAAGGAACTCCCTGGCTCCACCCACTCCTTTGTGTCACTTATCCTCAAAGACTTTTGGCCCCTTACTCCAGAGCCTGGCCTGATCCTGTGGCTCTGCTCACAGATATCAAAGCCTCATCCATGGCACTGTCCTATCTTGGGTACCACCTCTGCTACAGACCTCAGCCCTTAGATCAGCCCCAATCAGTGGCCCAGTCCTAGACCTTGACCCCTCCCCATCCCCAACTCAACCTCTGTCCTCATTACAGTTGATCTTAGCTCCAAATTTCCAGACTTCAGTCCTTGGCCCTGTCCTTGGCCCCTATAGACCCTTCAACCATCCACAGAGCCATAAGCTCCACCTAGTGTCCCCCCAGGGACCCAGTCCCCAGTGGTCTTGTCCCTCATGGTCCAGTCCACCCAGTCCAGTCCTGGCTCACGTGATGTCAAAGGTGGAGCCCTGGAAGGAGGGCTGCTGCAGCAGGAAGGCGGTGGCCGCCGTGTAGGGGGCGCGAGCCTCTGTGGCATCCCAGTACAGGTCCTTCTCCAGCACAGCCAGGTCATCATACATTTCATCTACAGCCAGCATTGATACCTGAGGGTGAGATACAGGGGTCGGGCTGGGGTGGAGCCCTCAGGACCAGCGGGACCATGGTGAGCAGAGAACCAAGGGTGGTCAGGGAGAGGCCCCAGCAAGTCTTGGTGGGGGAGGGGCCAGGGCCAGGGCGGCTGGGAGAGCTGGTTGTGGATGATGGCCCTGTGCAGCCTCACCTGGAAGTTGCGGTCAATCAGAAAGTTGGTCTCAAAGTCATCGTCATCTTCTCCAAAGGGGTTAATGAGCTGCTCCGCTACCTGAGTGGGGAGGAAGGAGGTAGGTGGAACCTTGAGGACCTTGTCCCCACCTTCAGGCCAGCACCAGGGCCCCACTCACCTTGAGCCAGCCCACATAGAAGAAGAACTGCAGTAAGGTGAAGATGGGAAAGCACAGGTCCAGGCTGTGGTCTTTGTAGCCCTGCACAGGGTCCAGGAACTGGCGGCCAATGAGGCAAGCCAGGAAGTAGCTGTAGACTGCAATGGTCACCACCTGTGGGTGCATGGGCGGGGGGGGAATGCCCCAGGTCAGTGTTTCCCCCATCTCAGGGGGTTATTGAGAGACCAGGCTAAACTGGTCATGATGGTGCAACTCCAGAGATAGGGAGAAGGATGGAAAGTTGGAGGCCAGCTACAGCAGCTTAGCAAGGCCCTAAGGAAGTTAGTGAGACCCTGTCAAAAAAATTAGGTTGGATGTGGCGGCGCAAGCCTGTAATTCCAGTAGCTTTGGAGCCTGAGACAGGAGTATCACAAGTTCAAAGGCAGCCTCAGCAAAAGTGAGGTGCTAAGTAACTCAGTGAGATCCCGTCTCTAAATAAAATACAAAATAGGGCTGGGGATGTGGCTCAGTGGTTAAGTGCCCCTGAGTTCAATCCCTGATACCCCCCTCCCCCCCAAAATAAAAATAGCTGGAGGGCTAGGGTTGTGGCTCAGTGGCAGAGCGATTGCCTAACTCTTGTGAGGTACTGAGTTCGATCCTTAGCACCAGGTACAAAAATAAGCAAATAAAATAAAGTCATGCTGTCATTTACAACTACAAAAAGGTGGGGGGCTGGGAATGTGGCCCAGTAGTAAAGTGCCCCTGTATTCAACCCTCCCCCGGCAAAAAAAAAAAAAAAGACTAATCAAAGATCACGTGCCCTTGTGATGGAGTTTTAGCTGGCCCTTACTCTCCCCCAAGACTAACACATCAGGGCCTCTGACACCAAGTATAAAGGGAGGGAGGCAGAGTGGGGTTACCTGGGTGTAGACCAGAGGTATGCTAATCCAGTCGTAGTGAAAGAGCATCCCACACTTGCCCCGAAAGACATTCAGCTCCTGGGGGCGGAGACAGTCATGAAGGAGTCAGAATTGTGGGCTCATAAGTTTGGGTCCCTGAGAGGGAGGCCGGGGGTCCTCTCCTAGGAAGTGGGGGTGTGTTTCTGAGGGCTCCGGGGAGAATATTTGGTGATGAGTGTACAACTGGGGTGCACCTGGCACTGCCCTCGAAGGTGTTGGTATTCGCCCCATGGAAATAAGGCACACCTGGTGGGGCCTGACAGGTGAGGGTCTTTGGAATCTGCCTTTGCGGGAGGTGCGTGGCAGGCCGCGGTGGACGCGCACAGGGCACACTCTCCCTGCTGGTCCATATTAATGACTTCCTAGCAGGCCCACCTCGAGCAGCAGCTTAAGGGCGCTGTTGTCGCGGATGCGGCCCTCTCGCCGGGCCTGTGCCGCCAAGTTGGAGAACCACACGCAGGGCACCCAGTACTTGTTGTAGGACGAGTTCAGGTTCTCAAACTTCTTGCGCTCTTCGCGGGTCATAAATCCTGGGTGGCGAGGTCCGGGGTTACTGGTCCCGCCCTCCGTCCTGGCCCCGACCCCGCCTGCCTAGTCTAAGGCCCGAGACTCACCCGCTTCCACCACGTGGTCTATGGTGGGGAAGCGCTTGAAGACAGCGGTGCTGACCGAGCGCAGGATAAGCACCGCGGAGAGACCTGCGTAGCGCATAAGTGTGCGACGGTAGAGGCGGCCTCGGTCGTCGCGCCCGTGCACTGTGCCCGCCACCACGCACATGAGCGCGTCAGGTAGCGGCATGCAAAGGTACTGGTTCCACCAGCGGTGCACCACTAGCGTCACGTAGAAACCTGGGGGCGAGCGGGGAATGGGGGCTCAGCAACCACACCAGGAGTTTAGGAAGAGAAGGGTTTGCATGAGGAACGCCTGCCTGGCTGGTCACCCTGAACATGTGGGGCCATTTGGGCTGAGAACCTGAGGATCCAACCCTGAGGTCAGAGAGGTTAGAGCAAGTTGGGTCACCCTGGCTACTTGGGTGTCACCTGAGATTGGGGATTGGGATCCCAGTATGGGGGTGGGGACCAAGCGCCCATGTTATTGTTATACTAGTCACAGGAAGCCACTGAGGTGGGGCCATGGGAACTTGAAACACCGAGGGGGGAAGTTGAGTTTTGGAGATATAGTGTACATCCTGGACATCTGGGCAGGCTTGTCACAATGGCCACAGGAGCCCCTGAGCCAGAGCTAGTGAAAGAGTTTGGCACTGGGTCTACATCAGGGAACTTTGAGCAGGATGGGTACCCCACCCATGCAGGGAGAGGGAGGCTGGGTCACATGAGGTCTCTGGGGGCTAGGGGCCAAGACTTTCAGAAATGCACTCCCCACGGACTTGAGAGAATGGAGTCATCTATGGGCCCTGGGGGTCAAGATGTTTGTGGGGAGCACTAGCAATCTCATGCAGAACAGGTGAGAGTCCTTAGATGGCCCACAATAAGCCTACGGAGCTCCCATGGCAGCATCTCTGGGGATAATGACCAGGTGACAGTCAAGGTTTCAGGTTGTGAGGCCACTCCTGCATTCTTCATGGTGTAAAACCAGGAGTGGGGACCCGTGAAGGTCGGATTTGAAGGGGGAGCCTCAGGGGCAGGACTAGGGTTCTCCAAAGAGTAAGAAAGGGAATGGGTTTCTTAGGGACATGGGAATGGGGCATTCAGGGGCGCGAGCGCACCGAGCACGAAGGAGACTGGAATGAGGCTGGCATACTGGTCGCAGTAAATGACAAGCTTCTCAAAGTAGCGCTTCTGCTCTTCAGCCAGCACAAAGCTGCAGGGTAGGGGGTACGGGTCACCGGTGAGTCGCCTTCCCAGTGGCTTATCTCTTGCCACGCCTCTTTCCCTCCCCTAAACACCCTATCCAGGCCAGTGGGCTGCACCTGCCGGCACCCCCCGCCCCCGCCACCTCACCGGTAGGCGGCGCTCAACGCCATGTAGAGTCCGAGGAAACACAGCAGTTCACGCCACAGGAGTTTGTAGATGCTCCCACGCCACAGCAGCAGCAGTTGCGAGAAGCCACCGAAGCGGGCGTTCGCCACTCGGGCTGTGTAGGTGACAGTCATACCGGCGCCCGTCCCTTTGCTTCAAAGAAGAAGGGGCTCTACTGGATGTGATCCTGTGGTCCGAGTAAGAGGGGCTGGGAAGGAGCCAGGTTGGGGGCTTCAAGCCAGGGTAGAGAGGTGCCAGCACAGAAAGCCGCACAGTCCCCACCCCACACTGGCTGTCTGCCCCAGGACCCCTCCACCCGCTGGGTTCTGGCCGTTCCCCGGTGCCCTGCTCCCAGCGCTGCTTCATCCTCCCTGACCCCAGCCCCAGTCCACCTCTCCAACCCCTTCCCTGGACTCCTGGTCCCTGCTTCTTGAGCCGACTTCCCCCAGCCCTCCCCGCCCAGGTCCTAGACCTTCGTGTCCACATAGCTCCTGGACGCCCTCCACCCAGACCCACCTTCTTCACTGTACCCCTCTACAGCCTTCCCTCTGCCCTGAGTCCCCAGCGCCTCCTGTTTCTAAGTTCTTGGGGCTTGGACACTCCCTTTCCCTCCCTAGTCCCCCACTCTGGCTCCCTCTCTCCACTCCCCAGCTCTGGGGGGGGCATTCTCCCCCTGCACTTCCTCTGAATCCTCCTCCCTAAGACTTCAAGGTCCCCATATTCTGTCAGTCAGCCCCCAGCCTCACAGTGAGCCCTCTCCAGTCACACTGCCCGCCATGTCCATTTCCCCTTGGATGGCCCTGGCTGTGCCCCTCCCCCTTTTCCTCCAGGAGCCACCTTAATCTCTCCTCCTCTATTACCTGCAGCTTTTTAAGCCTTCCACTCCCCACCCCTAGGTAGCCTGGCCCAAAGCACACCTGTCCCCAAGGCCCCTTATTCCCCCAGGCCTGGGCCCTTCTCACCTGTGCTGAGGGTGACTGGTGCAGGGACACTCAGGGACAGAGACTGAATGGGCGGGTGGCTTCAGTGTTGGGTGGGGCTAGACCCTGGGAGGGAGGGGGCTGGGGAGTGGGCGTGGGCAGCCCCTCCCTAACCCATCCCCCTGGGGTGAGCTACAGTCTCAGAACTTTGTTTGGAGAAGTCTGCCAGTTTGTTTCCTAGGGCCAGTGGAGAAATCTGTCCGGTCCTTCCTTGCTCCTCCCTGTCCTGCTCCCAGGCAAGTCCAAGGCATCTGGAAGCTGGAGCTGGGGGAGGGGGCCGCAAATGTCTCCATCCCAGACACATGCACACTGCTGAATGAGGCTGGTTCACATCAGATACCTCCAATAACACTGTCACAAAGATATACATAGAAGCACACATTCAGCTTCCCTTAACAGCCTCACACAACCACCGGACATATCCTGGAGGGCAGTGTGGCAGCACATACTGCCATAAAGCCTTCCAGAGTCACACATGGCACACCTAGCTCTCTCCAGGCAGATGGGTCCTGGACACACCAGGCTCTGAGCTCACAGTCACACAAGGTGCTCTCAACAGCTTCAGAGGACCGGCAGAGAAGGGATTCAGGGGGCTGCATTGCCTCATGATGGCACAATGTATAGACAGGCAAGTACACAGGACCAGACAGGGGCAGACCCCGCCCCTCCAGGACGCTTTCACACCGCAGCCATACACAGGCTATGGCTGCAGAGGTCTTCATCCCCATCTCCCCTGGACAAAGATCACACACCGAATGTGGGGACACCTCCCTTCAATACAGTGGCACATAGACCTGGGCCAGAGGGGCGCCCCTCAGGTCCCTGAGATTTGCCAGTGTGGTAGAGATATAATCACACAACAGCAAATTTGTGGAAGAGCAGTTCCATTGATTATAAGCCCCCAGGAACCACTCACCTGGATTTGTACATTAATGTATTAAGGCAAGCTCCTCCCCAGTGCTTCCTGGCTGTGGTGTGTGCACACACACCCATACACACTCGGGTCTCAGACACTCAACATTGGCATGAACACACAAACTTGGGTACATAGACCCTTGTTCCTCATATTTGGCAAGGATTTGGGACAGATGTTCCCTCTTTACAGACACCTACAAAGAGGGCATTCCCAGTCTGGCACAAACTGCACCCCCCCACTCCATCCCCCGACCTGGAGAACATTTTTATGCAGACCAGTGAGGGAGGGGCACAGGCTCAGGGAGTCCTGGCAGGGGGCAGACACTTGAGAGGGGGCGGAGGCAGGAAACCCTCAAGTCCAAGGGTGCCCTAGGAGCTCGGATGGCTATGTGCAGCACCACCCGGAGACCCAGCCAGCCAGGACATGGTGTTCCCAGACTGGCAGATGTCTGCCCCGCCTGGGGTAATTAGGAGCCAACCGGCTTAGGCTCGCCACCCTCGGACCCGAATCTCCGCTGTCCAGCTGCCGGACAGCCTATAAACAGGAGCCAGGGGGCAGCTGGGGTGACTGGGGCGGCACCGCAGCTGCCAGACCTAGGGAGGGAACAGGGTCACCAGGACGTCCTTCCGCTAACTGCAGCTAGACCTTCCTTGCTCATCCCCTCTCCCCCAGCACATGTCCCCATCCACCCCCGACTGCAGGACCCCGGGGGCGGGAAGCAGACTGCCTAGCAGGCTGCTGCTTCACCTGCTTGGTAATTGTAACACCAATAACAAGCAGCTCTCCTTGGCAGGTCCCTGCCTGTGATGAGAAATGCCTGCGTATTTCACCTCTGAATCCACACGCTGGAGTATACGCAATAGCTGCTGCACCTGCCACTCCCACTTTTTAGGTAGGGAAACTGAGGCTCAAATGATGTAGCTCTTTCATGGAAGAGCTGGGATGGGAACCCAGGCAGTGTGACCAGAAGCCTGGGGTCTTTGCCACCACATGCACCCCCTTTTGTTTATGTACACCACCCCAACGAGTCCACACCTGCTTGCACACACCCTGTGAAGCTGAGTGGGGGACACGTCTAGGCTCGTGGCTGGGTTCCCTTACACACACACCCTGGCACGCCCAGACCCTGGGTGTGTACACCCTGAACACTGCTTCCTGACTCTGTACCCCTAGTCCCAGCTCTGGTTTGGATCTTGCAAACACTCAAGGTCATGCCCTGTCCTGAGCTTTCAAATGTGGATGACAGTGGCTGTGGTGGCACCAGCAGAAGAATGAAGAGCAGGGGCCAAGGGGGTCCTTTTGGGGTGCTTTCCAGGTCACCGGGCAATCTGTTAATCTGTGCCATGGTTCAGAGAGTGGCTATACTGAGGTCCCCACTTCAAGATGAGGAGACCAAGCTAAAACAGCAGGAAGCCCAAGCTGCAGGCCAAGTCCCTGTGCAGATGGGATCAGTTTTCAGGGACCCAGCCTGAGTGCTCTGCCATCCTTCCCTTGTCAGTCCCACTGTTGTGGCCCTTTGCTGGGAGAGGCTGATGCCATCCCATGGAGGCAGGAATGGGGGGTGGGTGGAGATTTTTAATCCCCAGTCTGGCAAGCCCAGCCTCTGCCCAGGGCGCCCACTAATTCCCAAACCAAACAGCAGGCAGCACTGGGCCTGCTGCCTGCTTAATCCGCTCCCACCAGCCTGCGGCTGCCCAAAGGACTTCTGGGTTCCCACACTTTTTTTCCCCTTTGGTACCAGGGATTGAACCCTGGGCACCCTGCCACTGAGCTAAATCCCCAGCGCTTTTTATTTTTTAAAGACAGGGCCTCCTTACCTTGCTTAGGGGCTTGCTAAATTGCTGAGGCTGGCCTCCAACCAGGGGTTGTCCTGCCTCAGCCTCCCACGTCACCAGGATTACAGTCATGCACCATCCCTCCCAGCTAGATACCCACCTTCTTGAGCTTCTAAGGAAGTGGGCAAAGGCCCATCTGTCTCTTACATTCCAGGCATCAGTCCCCTAAGCTATGCAGAATCAGAACAAGGCATCCCTTATCCAAGACACCCTTTTCCCAAAATTGCCATGATGAAAGTGCATTTCTATTAAGTCTCTGTTGTGAACTTGCCCTCTACATGTGCCACTTTGCACAGTGCACAAACTGTGCAAATGTCCATGAAGGTGCTCACCCCCAGCCACACCTCCCAATACAACAAAGGCAGTGGTTTAAGATTATTTTATTGAGGAGTGAGAGGCAGGGAGAGGTGGGGGGCAACTACAGCTCCCCCGAGCCCCACCAGGGGGAACAGACCCTCTCTCTGTCTCCCACCCCCCAAGTAGCTCCCCCTGTACTCTGGGGGACTTTGTGCAAACTCTGCCCCAGGGGGGGAGTAGGTAGGGTGAAGGGTGGGTATGAAATGGCAGGAGCTGGGGATGGTGGTGGTGCTACTGGGCACTGGGGGGCTTGTAGGGCTCCAGAAGGAGGGCAGAAAAGGTGTTGACCTTGTCTGCCCCCCGCACCTCATGCGGTAACAGCGGCAGCTTCACGATGTGGAAGTCTTCATACAGGTCCTCCATCTGCAGCCAGGGCAGAGGGCAGAAAGCAGAGATCAGGGGACAGGAGGACAAGGACAGGGAGTGGGTCTGGCTGGGAGCCTCCCAGGGTCAATGAAGGAAACTGGGCAGAGGCTTCACGGTGTCGTAAATGGGAGTGGTGCCAGTGAGGCCACTGGACTAGACTTCCTGCTCCCAGGGTCACTGCTACCCAGGTCAGGTCAGCCACAGTCCTCCAGGGACAGTATGATCTGTGGTGGGGACGGAGGGAGGAGGAAGGGCAGAGGTGTCTCTGCTGGCCCAGGGCTGGGTGGGCAGGCACACCTGGTCCAGGTACTTGGCCTGGATCTTGTGGCGGGCCTCACACATCTTGCAGGGCTTCTCGGGGTCCGGGAAGACAAGCTGGTTGACGATGATATTGTGGGTGTCAATCTTACACTTGGCTAACTCCTGGATAAGTCGCTCTGTCTCGTATAGGGACAGAAACTCAGCAATGCACACGCAGATGAAGGTCGTCTGTTCCTGTGGGGAAGAGAAGACAGTGAAGGGTGGGTTCCAGTCCTGTCCCCACCCCCAGGGAACCTCTTGCCACCTGGTGGACCAGGACTCACAGGGTCCTTGAACTGTTCACTGACGGAGCGAATGACGGGCAGGGTCTCCTCCAGCTTGGAGGCCAGCTGATCTGCGTTCATGTCGCCCAGGCCTAGCATGTTGCACATCTGTGGGGAGGAGGGACAGGCTCACTGCCTGCCAGGGTGGGGAGCTCTCTAGATTCCTG